TCCCCCGGCTACCCTCAGGGAGTCTGAGGTTTAAAGACTGAAGCAAAGTCTGTGCTACTCTAAGTATCAAAGTAGTTCACTTGTACGAGTTGCCTGCCACACTTTATTGAGCATCTCCCTTACATCTAAACTCATCTTGGCATAGTGCATCCTCACCACCCTTCAACCCGTAAAACCACAGTTACATCTGTATTGGGCATCCTCGTGAAATCCCACAGCTGAGCTCTCTAAGCCTCAAACTACCAAGGTTGGAAAGGCAGACACAAAGGGCTGGAGGACATCTCAAGTGACTGTCAAAAGTCCACCTTCCTGCACTGAGGCGGGATCAGAGACACCCAGACCAGTGGATCTTGCCTACCCTACTCCCAAGGAAAGATTTCTCAGCATCTCGAGGTTATCCAGTCCAAGTGTTTCACACTTGCCAAGGTATTAGGAAGAACCAGAGACCTGAATCCCCACTTGAGAGCACAGCAGTTTGGCTGCCAGGACTCTTCATGCCCCAGTGCACGTGTCAGGGGAGCGAGTGCCTCCAAGCAGTAATGCAGTTCCCCTCCTGCAGCCCAGCCCAGCCAGCTTCAACCACCCTCCCTGCAGAAAAGCCTCCTGCAGAGGCTCAGCCTCCACCACCTCATCCTCGTGACAAAACAAAAAATAAAAAAAAAGGACTGAGCCAAAAAGAACCCCAGTGCAAGGTCCAGCCTCACGTGCCTGGCCAGCAGACTCTGGCTACAACAAGGTTTGTTTGCCACGTAGCTAAGGCACGAAGCAACCTCTAATTTTACAGTTTCATTCCAAAAGGCAAGCTCCATGGTTACATTTCTTCATCCATACAGATGTGGCGCCAATACAACTTGCCATTCATGAAACTTGCTGCTCGAGGCAACACAACTGTAACAAAATAGGGCTCGTATGACAATTTACAGTTGAAAAATGAAAGGAGTCAAGATGGATTTGGGGCTTTGAGTTTTTTTTAAAAAAAAAAAAAGTACAACTGGTAGTCCACCCCAGTCTGCCCTGATCACCAGGACTACAGTATTAACTACATTATAAGAAGATCTTGCCCAAGTTCTCTTTAAATACTGCTGCTGAAATCACTCACACAATACTGTTGTCCCAATAGCTACTTTGTCAGACAGCACGATCCCTCCCCACCACAGAGAAAATGCAATCACCTCATTGTCAGTCAACAACGCTCATTTTCTTAACAGATTATTTCTCATAACTTAGTAGCTTTAAGCTACCATAAGCACACCTTGAAAGCGCACCACAATTTTAATCAGTTTCAAACATCAGATGTTAGGGTTGATATTTATGATTATTCTGTTTCATTTAAGGGCTTTTTTATCTATGAAAGCAAAGATAAGAGAGTTACCTAGGACACCCAATATAAAGCTTCTAATTTAAGGGGAAATTTCCTCTGACACTGACTGTCAGACACTAACAGCAGCTGTTATTTTCTGTATGGTACCAGAAAAACAGTCTTAGAGAAGTATACTTCATTCTACACAAAGCAGTCATCGAGTCAACTAACCAACCGACTGTGTCCCTCCAGTTTCTAACGGGAATGTTCTAACTCCATTTTAACCTAAATGGAGGGAAAAAAAAAAAAGAACTCTAATAACTATAGTAAGAACTCAGCATGGTATTATGAAGAGCTGAATGGGAATTATTTCTTTTTAAAGCCTCTTTCATAAGGATTCCTCATCAGCCTTTAATTAGCATGCCAGCTCCTATCTGGAGGTTCCTGATCACTTACAGCCCAGTTCAACATCCACCGAAGGCAACAAGACATGCTGCCTTGAACTCAGTGGGGTCTAGACAGGGTCTTGGGGCTATGCAGGGAGCTCTCTGGTACCAACACAAAGTTAATTGAGCAGGCTTTTGACGCCCAGCTCTGGGAGTCAGCCCTTGGAACAGTTTTCCTATGGAAGATCAGAAGAAAATCTGGACTTCCAGATTTGGGGCTATGTTAATATATCATCTGTACTCAGCAGGTATAGCACTAATTTGCCTTTTGTGATAGAAGAAAGCGAGACGATCTATCAACGTATTCAGTTTGACTATTTACACATATTTTAAATCTTCACTTACATAAAACTACAATAAAGTATTTTAGAACCAAGCATCTGCCAACATACATGCAGTATGCTGCTAAAGGCAGATATATACCGTAAGGTATATGCAAGATCATTAGTTAGCTGTGACAGGCGATTTACTGTGATTTATCTTACAGGATCAGTGCATTCACAAGGAAAATTGAGTGTCAGCCCCATCCATAAGCTATATATACCATCTAGGTACTTGAAAATGCTAATAGGTTAAAGGATGCCGTAGACAGCTCTCCAACACAAGCCAAAATATTTAACCTGAAACCTTTTGGAATAGAACCCAAAAACATCAGTAGCCCAGCCAGAACTCATACTAACACGGATTGCCAGGGGCTAACGAACATAGAAAACTCTTTACCTAGCGCATAATTTTACTGTTGCTGGGAGAGCACTGCTCAGTCATTTCGGTACAGATCCAAGAAATTGGCTTCTTATGGTTTTGTCTCTGTTTGAGCCAGACACAAATTAAGGCTAAATTAAGAGTCGTGGTTCATAAACGATTCAACAGAACGCAAGAACAAAGGTCAAAACTTAGATCTCTGCCCTGCAGGTGCACATCCTGAGCACACAGCTAAATAGGGCCATCCACCTCCGGGGGATGACTGGCAACAGAATTGGGAGTGAAACATTTGGGGTCTGATCCATGTACCACCTCTTCCATTGGCAAACCCCACCCAGCCAGAATGACAGGCCTTGAACTTGACTATAGCAGCGGGCCAACACAGTAGATCAGTGTGCAGTGGCTGTGTTTCAGGACGGTTTAACTTCTGGAGTCACTTCCTCCACTGACAGGCAAAGTCAATGGATTGATTCAATGGGATCTACTAAATTAATATAAAATATTTCACACAGCTATTCCTCCTTACTCTCCCACCTCTCCTAAGGAAGGGGGAAAAAAAAAAGTCATCCTAGGTCCCTGGCTTACTGAACCTTTACAAGGATTTCCTACCCACAAAACAGGTGGAAAGCTCTAAAGCACAGCGGGGCGATTTAGTCTACACATGCCAGATCCAAGATTTGGCCATAAACCTTAGGTGAACCAACGTTAACAGCTGCCACAAAAGCCGACAACCTCTAATCAATACCTTCCATGTATAAGACAGCACAAACCACCTCTCTGCAAAACATACGTATGCCTGAGAAGAGCAAATAAATTATGACAAATTCAGGAAGCCAAAATTTTGCTCAGCTTAAGAACCCCAGGCAGACCCCCTAATTTTTCAGCAGCGGCACACATTTAACCCAGAGCAGCAGTGCTGAAAGCAGCTGAGACACCTGTGAGATACCACAAAACACATCTAAAAAACTAAGATATTCACCAAGGCTGCAGCTACATGTGTTTCAAGAACTAACAAAGCTTAAAAAAAAAAATCATCGAAAACATTAACAAAACGAGCACAAAAATATTGAATGCGTTCAAGTATTTTTGCATTACTTCATCCTAGATCTTTTTATTCCCTAATTTGACTCTGGGTTTTAGCCTAGATGATAAAGAAGATTTAAAACAGAGAGCTTTTTTTCCCTTCCAATGAAGGCTTCCCATTAATAAAAAGGAAACAAAAGAAAATGAAGAAAGTGAGTAGTAAAACTTTTACAACATAATAAAATATATCAGAATCCCAGTGCAGCAGGATTGGAATTGTCTAAAGATGCTGAATTATGATGGGTTGTCATATAAAGTTCAGTCCAGAGTATTAGCAATCATATTCTCTAGCAACATGTATATAATTGGGAGATCTTCATAATAACCCTCAGTTTTAAAGGCTCATAAAAACTACGTTTTACTTGTAATTCGCAGGAAGAATGAAGAATTCTTGAAGGAAAGTAACATCTTTTTCTCAGCAAGAAAGACTTTGAAGGCAATACATTGTATATTTTAAAGTAAGAAACCCTAAAAGCTCTTTCTTTCACAGTTTTAGGTGGGGTATTATACCGACACTCAATTTAAAAAGATAAATATGTATCTATCAGAGACACTAAAAAGAAAATTAGTATCACATAGCAAGGAACCCTCTCAAAGTTTACTAGAAGCAAAGCATGTTACAATATTTTTTTTAATACAAATACAGAGTTACTTTAAGGTAAATATCTTGCTATAACATTGTAGCCAACAGTAGAACAAGCTACAGCACTCACACCAAAAAAAAAAAGGATGCTGAGTTTGAAATGTGCATAAACCACGTTTATCCACCTCCACAATATAGCATGAAAATAATTATAAAAATATTATCAGCACTTGACACTCTCAGCCATCTCCCAACTCCCTACATTTTCTCAATTTCTCCCTGACATTCTAAACCAAAATCCTTTCAGTTTGTTAAGAGCGTCAACTACTAAGTGCTATAAACTTCCAATCATCCCAGCCACTTTCGGACTTGCCAAGGCAAAGCTGAGGTAATGAATAGGATGCTGCAGTTTCCGTATGGAATAGCAAAGTACAACCTGTCAAACCCAGACATTTTAACTTCATACTTTTCCCAGAGTAAAGCCTTCTTGTAAATACGATTTGTTTGTTTTCAAATAAAGCTACTTCAAGCTGTTTTGGGAAGCATGGTAAGTAATAATAATAACAACAACAATTTTGGATTTCAAAACCTGATGAAACAAAACCGGCATATGTCAAGTCTAGTGTTTTCCTACCTGGAACAGGTAAGGACCAGCTCTCAAATGCCACCTTGGGATAGTTCAAACTAGTAATCCCGTTCATGTTTAGAGGAGACACCGGCATGAACAAGAAAAAAAAAAAACCCACACAAACTACCCTCTCCTCCTCTTCTTTTACTAGCAATGCCTACAGCAGCGGGTGAGACCTGGTAAGCAAGCCGAGGACACAGAGGACCCGACTAACCCAAACCCGCTGCTAGAGAGAAACAGGTTTAGGAAGAGACTTACTGCTTGCCATGTGACTGGGGGAGGTATGCTGCCCATTGGGTGTGCTGGAGGTGAGGTCAATGGCCATGCCGGAGTGCTCCCTTTCGGGCGAAAGCTCATTGTCACCTGCTTTCACAAAACAAGTCCCCCGTAAGTTTCCATCCCCGTCTTCAGCAGAGAAACACAACTATTAAAAAGCACATCTCGCTTGCTCCCTTCCCTCTTTTACCAGAGGGTTCTTCCATAGCTTGGAAAAACTGATTCTAAGAGCTCCCCCCCACCTCCAAACCTACTGTCAAGAGCCTTCTACACACACCCCTGTGACAAACCTTGCCCCAACTGCTTTGTCTCAAGAGAAGTCAGGATTACTTTTCCATTTGCAGACCCCATGATTCAGGGCTGGGAAGACTGAAGTAGCACTTGAACAGGTAGACCTTCCCCCCCACCCCCCGTCAAAGATCTCGGTAAACTGACAGTTAAACACACCACTTCAATGAAGACATTCTGCCCTGACACAGAAAACAGGAGAAATGCACAGTGAAAGGCAAAGTTTCTGGTTGCAATCTGTATTTCTGAAGATGAACTCTCTCTCATTTGCGGAGTTCATTCATCCTCACTGAATATTTAAGCCTAGAGCTACTCACCCATGCACCCCTCCCCACGGCTTTTTCAGTCACACCAAGTTTAAGTGCTATTAATGCAGTGTCCTCTCAACGCAAAGACCATGCACAAGGAAGCTAGAGTTTCAGGTGTCTGCATTATAGAAAGGAGAGTGGGAAAAGGAAAGTAATTCAGAATAATCAAATGAAATGACTACTTACATGTTATATATCCATCAGCAGCCTCTGCTTCCATAGTCAAAGTGCAGTGCTGCAAGGCAGAAAAGTACACCCTCAAAGACGCCTGTCAGTATCAACCATTAACTGATTAAACTTACTTAAAGCCCTAAGTAGTTGCCCATTTTACTGCTGTTGCAACCATTGCCTAGAGAAACCTGCATGTGCTCATTTGCAAATCACTGAACTCTTCCTGCAAATTATCCCTGTAGAGAAATTCATCTGCCTCCTGGGCAGGCAGCAGTGGGATCAGCTTGGTCGGACCATTCCCCTCCCTGTCCTTCACTCATATTTTTACCTGATCCGAGAGGTTTCCCCCACCCCACCCGACTTTCCACTATTGTTCAAGCCAGAATGGTAACACTTTATCAATTATCAGCTCTCACAGCCAGAACAGACTTCGAGGAGACGGGTACTATCAACAATTACTCTTTTTACACGCACTCCAAGAGACTCCATCCCGATCTACACAAAATAAAGCCCTCCAGGGTCCCTTCCCCTTCCAGAGAGTTATTACCACTCTGTCTCACACCACCCTACACGCACACACACCTGTACAGGCACCTGTTCGCTCAAACCCTATTTATCTGCCACAGCATGGGGCCCAACGTCACACTTAATGCTCCCAGATCATGCATTTTGTGGCGTGAAGCAATCTTAAAGTTTCTGGAAGCCCTTTGCTGACACAGAACAAGCTATTACTTTCCAGAAACCCAAGTAACTGTATAGAATGACACCCCCTAGCTATCATTTGATATATATTGAGGGAAGGAAAAAAAAAAAAAGAAAAAAAAAAGAGATCAATAATCATAACTATGTTCTTTTAAGTGGAAAAGTTAAGAATCTGACATGACCAGAGGAGAATTTTATTTCCTCTCTCCCTCCACGGCCTCTTTTTTGCCTTTAGTTTCAAAACTCTCACTGCACCAGGCAGCTAAATTATTCACAATGAGCCATTTCTGTATTGATCGCCAAGTATATTTAGCCCTGGCTCCTGGAATTTCTCCATTACTTACTGGAAAACAGGCAGCTTCACTTCTTGTCTCCAAAACCACTTCCCTCCCCCTCCCTTAACCCGCTTTCCTTCCCCCCCTCTCCCGCCTTTCCCCCAATAAATAAATACTTTTCTCTGTGCTCTTCTTTGGCATAAAGCAGATCAAATTCCCAAGGCATTCAGCACATAACACTTAAATTTCAACCTGCCCAGCTACTACCAAACTCTCTCCAATGACTGATTTTCACATGACTTTTAAAAAGAAACCTCCAAAACAAAGTTTCCAGAAGAGGTAAAGCCACTTCCTCAAGCCCTTCAAAATTACCTTATCGTCCCCCTAGTCCAGGTAGGCAGGCACACACTGAGAAAAAGAAAGAAACATCAGAAGCAACAGGGAAAGACCATCCCAGCCAATGAAGTGGAAGGAAAGGAAGGGAGGAGGAAGAGAAAGGAAAACAAAAAGAAACACAGAAACATCCATAGCCGAAATTAAAACACGGTTTGATTTTTTTTTTATTATTATTATTTCTTCAAGGGAGGAGGAAAAGAAAAAAAAAGTTTGATCACCATTTTTAGGCTGGTGATGGCAGATCCCAGCTGCTAAGCCTCCCTCTCTACAACGAATGCAGAGTTTTGCTCGGGCTGAAGACACAGCAAGATAGGGAAAGTTTAATTTTTTTTTTTTTTTAGAATATAGGAGAGGGAGAGGGAGAAAGAGAAAGGGGGGAGAGAGGGAGAGGAGCCCGCCCCGGCACTTACAGGTGGGGCATGCGGAGCCGGGCGGCCCCGGGGATGAGCCGGCGGGGAAACTCGCTCAGGAATGGCACATACTTTGAAGGAAGATGAAGAACAAAAAAAAAAAACCAACCCAAGAGGGAGAGGGAGGGAGGTCAGCCGGTGCTACAGCAATGCGATTAACCAGCGGGGAGAGAGAGAGAAAAACTTGATCCACCGGTTCCTTACGAATCGGCAGGAAAACAGGGGGAGCGGAGGGGATGAGGAGAAGGATGGGGTGAGAGGATGCGGGGAGGGATGGGGTGAGGGGGTAAGG